TTCTTCAATTTCTCTTTGCAGCGCACTCGTGTGCCCAAGACACGAAATTGCAGGTAGAGTGAAACACGGCTGTGAGTTTGGCACGATCGAAGGTCAGGATAACTCCGTTAGAGGATGATTGCTTGCGAGATGCGAAGCAGATGTATAACTGTGCTTTTGTACAAATTGTTTCGTGGCTGATTGTGTAACGAGAATAACAACATAACGTTTCACGCGAAGAAGATATAATATCGTAAGAAATGTGTAGAGAATAAAATAAAATGTTACTGTGCGAAACAATCTTACGTAAGAATACGAAAGAAATGAAAAAAAAAAGAAGTAAAAGCGACGAATGAGAAACTAAAATTTTAGTTGATCCTTCTTTTCAATATATATTTAATCATCATTTGTTGAGCAATATTCGTCAACTGTAAGAACTGTCACTTATATGTGGTATTGTATTATTTATAAAATTTTATTTTTATAAATAGAAGACAAGAGAAAATTGACAATTTGTATAATTTATAACTAACCATAGTTCAATAATAGCTAATAAAAAATATAATGAGTAGCCACCCCTTTCAAAAATCACTCGAATAATCCTCTTGGAAGATCATAAACAAGTACAAGTCCATACCGCAAATCGGGCAAAGAGCACCCTCTAACCACCGCCGTTTGATCGTATGGAAAATCGATTTCCCCGTGACAACCGCTTCTGCTCATTGTGATCCTCTGGAGCACTTTTAGCCGCTGTGAACGGCCAAGTAATGCTCGTTAGAAGCGTATCGGGCGACGTAAACCGACGCATAAATTCCAATTTATCCTGGGGGCCAGGTTGTACACCTCCTCACGCTGTTGCACGCCGTGTCGAATACCATAAATCGATTCCAGGATACATTTGCATCGGGCCATGCCGATAGCCGTACGCTATCTCGTCTGCGTATCTTCTAGCAGTACGATCGAAAGAAGTGTATCATCGGTTGCTCGCTACCGGCTCTATTCGACCGGTTGAATCATCGATCGAGGAGGATATCGCGAGAAAAAAAAAAATCCGCGATGAACGGCCATCGTTCGGGGAGGAAGGGGGGAAAGGAAGGAAAAACGTACGAGTGAGAAGGGGGGAAAAAATCGGTGGATCGAAAATGGCCGACGGAGTAACTAAGTAGCCGGTTATGGCCGGCCAAGGAAGGGAATCGTGTTTATGAACGGTTACACGATGCACCTTGTGCAACGTGCGCACCTTCATCGTGTGTGATGCGAATTCGATTACGACGGAAAATTGATGGAGTCTGATAAAATGGTGAAGTATGGATATGTTGAAGTTTATAAGAGTTTATACGAGAAGTACGAGACGGTATTTGGATCGAGAAATACGGTTATCTCAAACGGATGTTCCTTCGTAGATCATTTTTAGAATTTTGAATAGAAAGTGATAGAATTTTTAAAGTTTCGTACATTATTTTTTTATAGTTTTGGTTTTCTTTTTTTTTAATCGTTTCTTTTTATTTTTAGAAAAAAAAAAAAAAGATTGACAGCGATGGGAGATAATTGATAATTCTTGGAAGGATAGAGTGTTTCATTGAAACTTTTAAATTGTTCAGGAGAGATTAACAGGCAAGAATTTCCTCGGTTTAATAGACGAATTCTTTGGAAAAATTCCAGTGAAATGGCTGAAAATTTTTATATATTGAACGAAGAATAATGTTTAATGCGTTTTACGCATATTTCTCAAACTATCACATATAATAGTAAACTTATTATATTACATCTACATTTATATAAAATGATTTTTAGTATTTCTATTTCTAAGTACATTATTTATTTTTTGTAATATTCTTTCAAAAAAGTTTCGAAGAATTTTTTTTACCAGAAAGTTTTTCTTTTTCGTTCTCATTTTTATCTGATGGAATTTCTAATTTCTTTTAGCTATAGAACGTAATTTTCAAGTTTAGAAAATTTTCTCAAGGGTACGAAAGTTTTTGGAGAAAAAAAAGTAATCAAATCATGTTAGTTTTTGTATTCCTATCTTTAAATAAATTGACTTTCATAATTTAAATATTATCAAGTAATATTTTTAAATATATTGAGATTTGTTATTTTATCTTTTTTTTTTATTCAGAACAATGAAAGTTTTTAAATAACGACTTTTGAAAAATACTTTACGTGATAAATATTTTAAATTACAATAATCTTTCAAAAAATTGTAAATTAATAATTATATATTTTATACTGTTATACTGTTAAAGTAATCTCTTCATTCAAAATTGATTTAAGTTGTTTCAAATAAAGAAAAAAAATATAACGAATAAAAAGTTGGAATTAAAATTTTAAATAAAGTCCAATAACACATATGTTATATAATGTATATTAAATTCTTAAAATTTTTGCAGGATATATTAAGTCCGCGCGAAAGTAACATCAATTTTAAGGTATGAAATCGTGCTATTATCTAGCTAAAATAATTTTCCCCATTATGCACACAGCTTTTTATAATTTCCGGCTAGAATTTTACAGCTAAAATAATTTTTCTTTTAAGGCCACCGACCCATTTTCGGATCTCTTCTACATTTTAGAATTCTTTTTTCAAAGGAACTAAGTTTTATGGATCAAAATACACGGAAATCCAAAAATACAATGTAGGAAAAATATAAGAGGTAAAATTAATAGTTTCTGTACTTATAATCTTCTTAAAATATGTTAAAAAGACTTTTAACTTTCTGTGTTTCAATCAATAACAACCAATGAAAAATTAAAATCAATTCAACTCGTGGTACAACTTAAATTTCATCATTTAATTTAATTATGAGGCCACTGAACCAAGAAATAAATATTATTAGAAATGCTAGAAATCATTTAAAAATAAAATAATAAAAATATTCTTTTTTTGAATTGTGCCATTGTTATTTCTTAGAAGTTTAATAATAATCCTTGTCAAAGATTTCTTAAATGTAAAAATTACAATCTATAAACTAGAAATTATTTATTGCAAATTAAGCAAAAAAATAAAAAACGATAATATTAATATTTTTACAAGATACGATAAAATTTGTTGTAAATAAATTTTGAAATTTGAGATAAAATCTGGAAATTTATAACGTCTCGAAGACATCATCATTTTATAGTAAATAATAAATCTTCTCGAATTATTTAGTACCATCTGCATAAAGTTGCCAACATTTTTCCCGAAATGCTAATTACAACTTTCTTCAATCGCTTCGTGATTTACGAAGCACTAGTTATACCGCATTCATAACTGTATTTACAATCAGTTACAAAGTAAAAGTTGAAAATTTCTTCTAGGAAGCGTGCTCCATTCGTGCTAACGACGCTCTCTTCTTTGTCGAGATCTCTCCGAGAGGAGAGGCTGTGAAATCGATCAAGAAGCGTGATGGGCCAATTTTCACAGATAGCTTTTTTTTTTTTTATATTTTCATTTCTCTCTCGGCGTGAACACGAAAAAGCATTGTATTTAAGTATTTAAGGTAAGCTTTCGTCATGATCTTTGGATACAAAAAATTTCTAAATGATTTTATAGTCGTGATCTATCGTGTACTATCTCTTTAATTTCCTCAGTCAAAAAGTTTTTATTTGATGATTATCGAAAAGAATGGCACTGAAGTTTTTTGAGAGATATACAGAAAACTTTTATAATTACATTTTATAATTAATTTAGATTGTTATTATTTTTCTGTTACTTGATTAAAATTTATTCAAGTACGAGAAGAATTTTTATTTGGAAATTGTTTAATTTCAACAGGAAAATCTTTTTTTTTCCAAGAATTAAAGAGCGCATTCGATTGTATTGATTTTATTGTAAAATCTCTATCAGTTAAAAAAGAGATATTGGAAAGGATATATGTTGAATACTTGTTTAAGATAGTTTTTACCAGTTTGAAAGTTGTTTCGCAAAAAAACTTTTAAGTTTCAGTGTCGTCAATGAAATGAAGTTTTAATCCACAGCGAATTAAGTTGTTGTTTTGTTTCAAGTGGTCTGTGTTTGTGTAACTATTTTCGAGAGTATTAGGATGTAAATTAAGCTGTGCTCTTTTTTTTTTTTTGTTCTCACGATGATTAAAAACTTCTAATCAATACTGCAATTTCTATTAGTTTTTGCTAATTTTTTTTCTATTTATTTCTTTTTTTTTTTTTAGGATTTAATAATTAAAAATTTTCGAATTTTGATGATAAATTATTCTCTAGTATTTTTATCTTTACAGATGAATTTTTTATTGATCAAAATTCTAAAGCGATAAAGGGAGATGATAAAAACCGATCAATATCGTGCAATATCTAGTGAATATAGAGGATGTGGTAATAATATCTATTACAATTAATATCTCTTTAATATGAAAAAATCAAAAGAAAAAAAAGTAACGTAAAATAAAAATAATTACTTTCTATTTTTTGTCATATCTATCCTTTAGCTTTCTGTTCAATCGACACTGATAATTTAAAATTATATTTATTAATATACCGTAAAGATCATTAAAAAAAAAATTCCATACCATTCATATATATTTGGCCTAAACTTATTATTATTAAATAGTCAAGAAATAATAAAACATATAAATCATACATTTTATGAATATCCTTTGAAACACCATCGAATAAATAATCTCAATTCCTTCATCTACTTTTAACGTCCGAAACCGCCATTTCAAAAATCCTCGCATAATTCTTTGATCTACACGAACAACCGAATCTCAACATTGAACAACATTGCGCCAAGTAATCTCAGTCTGCTATTTCTTTCACAGGGAAATAAAAAGAAAAAAGAAAAAATAAGTAGAAAAAAGAAGAAGAAGAAGAAGAAAAAGAAGAAAAAGAAGAAAAAAGAAAGAAACCAACAGCGTGTATTCATTCGAAGAACGAAAAGAATAGAAAATCCAAGCGAGAACGACAATACCGAGTTTATAGTGTCGTAGAGGCGCGCGGTCGATAACGTTTCATAATGATCGCCGGTAATCGAGCCTCGAAACGTTTCAACCCTATTAAGTCGAGTTTACGTAAACGAGAATTACCTGGCTCGTAGCCGCATCCCTTGTGTCTCCCGTTCACGATGTCCTGGAACAGGGTTTTGTCGGCGTCGCTGTCGTGCAGTTTCGTCGACACGGCCACACACAGATTCTTGGTCGCGTCCCAGGCACAGTGAGGATCCTGAAGACCGACACAAGACGCGCAGGTGGCCGCCGCAGGGGCGTCGCAATGGTGCAGTGGCACCGCGCGAATTTCGGAGTCAGCAAACACGACCAACTTGCTCGCCTCGCCGGCCAGGTGGACCACCAACAGATCCTTGATCGCTTGTCCTGCACGTGAACGGAATTGAACACTTTAATTCTCGTGTAGGGATTAAAAGGGATGGAGCAGTGTCTCTCAACCTTTCCTTTCGAATGTGGACACTTTTTTACTAAGGTAATAATTAATTAGAATAATAAAAGTATAAGTATATATTTTGGAAATAATAATTGAAAGAAATAATTATATATTATTGTTTTTATTATAATATTAATTAATTTGGTTTGGTTACTTATAGATACAGTTAATATAGAAATTGAAAAAAAATATTATTTCTTTTTGGTAAGTTAGTTAAAAGTGTATATCTTTTTATCAGATCTGAAAATTTATCTTTATCTTATTAGCATTCAATTTTTGAATTATTGATTGATATTGAAATATTATTCGTTGAACAATTATTTCTTTCTAAAAATTTACAGTTATGTTTATATTCCTCATCTTTTTTTATTATTCTTATATTCTTCGTGTGAAATTTAATTAAAAATTTATAATATTCGTAATTATTGTTTTTTAATTTTAAATTCGTATCGTGAAGAATAAGCTATGAACATAATAAGTAAGAAAAAGTTTGTTAAAAATTGATAAATATCCTGTAAATAATAGATTATATAATCAAGAAAATTAATGACTTCAAATGACAAAGTTTTAACGAACATTTCCATTTTTTCTTCTAAAAAAAAAAAGAAAAATGATTAAAATTTGGATGCAAAATCCATCTTCGGAATTTCCTATTTTGCATCGTGTAATTGGATTGATGCTTATCAGACACGAACGATCGAACGTCGAATTTCACGAGCGTTTTACTCGTAGACATAAAAAAAGAAAAAGTCGTGGAAATTTTCGAGCATTGCTTACCATACTTCAGCACTTGAACATCGCTTACGATGACCTGGCTAACATTGCTCAGAGAATCCGGTGCACGAGTGTTGAGCGCTTTGAGAACTCGGCCGTCGTCTATGCATAATTATGAAATTATCATAATTAAATCCGTGCTTTTGTTAGTTGCGGTGCACAATTGTCGTAACTCACCTGTCCCGACATACAGAATGTCGTAGGCCTTGCCATCCAACGCCTTCACTTGAGGATCCACGGCGACTTTGGTAAATCTGTAACTGGATTTTAATTTTTAAAAATCGTTGAATTTTTCTTAAATACAAAAATATTTTTATTATAGAGTTATTAGTTCAATTGATTGATTCTTTCACAAATTTATAAATTTTAGTATCAGAAACTAAATAATTTATCCCGATGGAGGATGATATTTTATAGGAGAAATTAATGCTTAACAAGTTTGCCAATTCGTATAATCTTATTTATTTAGCAATCTTACTTAAGTTACCATAAATTATTATCAGGCAATATTTGACTTAAATATTAAGTTAGTTTCTGTCTCGTTCACTTTCTGATTACTACTGCTAACATCTATAATTCTACCAAGCTCTAGATATATTCAACGATTAATATATATATATATATATATCAAGATAACTGGATCGTGAAATTTAATTACTCGAGAAATTTTCTACGATATACTACGATAAAATAAAATATAATAAATACAATCGAGCAAAAATATAAATAAAAATATTGAATTAAAAGTTGAAAAAATTATTGAATACAATTCGCAATTTCATCGAATAAGAATTCACAATAAAAATAAAATTTTTGACATCTATTATAGAAATAATAACAATAAATATATTATTTTTTCTCTGAAAACTTTAAACACCGCATTATGCATATTATATCGAGAAACTTTTTTCAGAAGTAACGAACGAAAGTGTAAATAACTTACTTGAAGCTGACTTTGGTTATCACAGGTAATGAGAAGAAGGATTGGACCGCGTCGTCCATGAGGGGGTGCGCTTTCACAAAGTTTACGGTCACGTCTGGAAGCGTTCTGGAGTCGTTCACGCATGCACCAGGCCTCGGCTCGGGCACCTTTTCCGGAAGCACGCGTAGCCAATTGCTGTTTATGGTCTCCTGCTCCTTGAACGCACCCTGGAAGACTTCGAGGACGTTCTTCATGGAGAACGCGCAGACGGCCGAGCCCCCGATCGAATTCACAGGCGTTGTAAACACCCCATAAACCAATCGGGCACGTTCGCCGGCGTAAACACCTTCCGTGACGTCGCTCGTCGATTCTGGAATAATTATTATAAATCGTTCGATAAATTTCTCTCATTTTACGCTTTAACATCGATTTCTTCGACAATTAATCCTCTTATTCTTTTCAGGGGATGAAATGCGACATTTATTGACTTTGCTCGGATCAGTGACCAATGATATTAAGAGATTGTAAAATATACGATGAAATGATAACACGTCGTACGACTTTCACAATTAGGTAAGATTGATGCAAACTCTGGAATAATTATTATTATAAATCGTCCCATAAATTTCTCTCATTTTACGCTTTAACATCGATTTCTTCGACGATTAACCTTCTTATTTTTTTTCAGGGTGACCAATGATATTAAGAGAAATTTGTAAAATATACAATGAAATGATAACACGTCGTACGACTTTCACAATTAGGTAAGATTAATGCAAATTTTCACGTATAAAATATTCTTTCTGCAGTAGGATAGGAGTCTTAAGCATTGTTGAATAGGCAAAACTATATGAACTATAATTTATTTACATTATTCGATATTCATAATAATTATTTATTAAATTAATTGTGTACATGAGAGCTATATATATCACGCGATTCGTTCGACGTTAGCTCGTTTGAATCACGGCCAGCTTTCGTACACCATCGACGGCCATTAATATTAAGAATTCAGCTGGGAACAATAAGGTTATAGAAACGTAATCCAGCTGAGGAGAAGATTGAATGGAAGTCGGGTGAAAGAAAACGTGGCGAAAGTTTTCTGTCACCTCCTCGTTAATTCCGCACGAGCGGGGCTAAAAACCATTAATGCGCCCCATTCTTCGTGGGACATTAGCACGAAGAAAGGATAATTCGTGTTCGATAAAACATTGGATAAAACGATGGACTTGACATCCCCCTCGCCGCGGAGAAGAAAATCCGAAGATAGCAGCTCTCAGAAATGACGAACTTTTTATTGTCATTAAAGAGCTCGGGAATAAAATATTCTTTCTGCAGTAGGATAGGAGTCTTAAGCATTGTTGAATAGGCAAAACTATATGAACTATAATTTATTTACATTATTCGATATTCATAATAATTATTTATTAAATTAATTGTGTACATGAGAGCTATATATATCACGCGATTCGTTCGACGTTAGCTCGTTTGAATCACGGCCAGCTTTCGTACACCATCGACGGCCATTAATATTAAGAATTCAGCTGGGAACAATAAGGTTATAGAAACGTAATCCAGCTGAGGAGAAGATTGAATGGAAGTCGGGTGAAAGAAAACGTGGCGAAAGTTTTCTGTCACCTCCTCGTTAATTCCGCACGAGCGGGGCTAAAAACCATTAATGCGCCCCATTCTTCGTGGGACATTAGCACGAAGAAAGGATAATTCGTGTTCGATAAAACATTGGATAAAACGATGGACTTGACATCCCCCTCGCCGCGGAGAAGAAAATCCGAAGATAGCAGCTCTCAGAAATGACGAACTTTTTATTGTCATTAAAGAGCTCGGGAAAGAAGCTCGTTTTGGCTGACAAGATTGCTTGTCTTCTTCAGTTATGAAGCTTGTTTGAATAATTAAACCTAGTAACACAGTGTTACACACGGTGGCAAGAAGAAGATATAGTGGCATTAAAGTAACGTTGCTTTTGCGAGAAATAGAAATCAACATAAAATAATGGATTTAATATATTTAATCTTTAAATGATTTGAATTTTGTCTAAGAAACTAGCTCAAAGAGTTCGAAGATCGATGTAAAAAATTTATATAAATATACATAAGCAAAAATTATAAATTGCATAAAAAGATTGAAAACGATCTAAAAAATTTACTGAAACATGTCGTGGATATATTATATATAATATTTGATTAATCTGTCCAAAAATAATTTAAATAATCGTGTAATAATCCATTCTGTATGCTTTTGTATGTTTAACTTTTTGAATATTTTGGGAAAATATTGATTTCACGATTTTAAAATGCGATATGTATTTAAATACATGTACAACATTTTTCTCAGAACTATAAAAAAATAATAATCTTAATAAATTCCTTCAAAAGAAGTAGGATTAATACGACATTCGATTATAGCGATGATTTATCTACGAGAAATCTTGCGAGAAATCGAGTTTAGTTAAAACCGGATTTAAAGTTTAGTTTCGTCGTTGAACTGTTATTTAACAGTCATCATGTTTACAAATTCCTCAATTTTTGATGCACAGGATTTACGAGTTTATTTGCATTGAACTTCCTCTGGAACTAAATTAATTTCACTAGGAAGTTATTGCCAAAGAGTGGTGTCCCAGTTATCCCATTTTAAGAAAAGGACTCGCTTAGAACGAATTGACTTCCTTGAAATTAATAAAAAATTTTTGAAAAATGTGTAAATACTGTTTTCCTTTCTTTATTAGTATGAATGAATTTGTGAAAATATTTGTTTTTTTTTTTTTGATGAGATTAATAAAATCTTATAAATTTACGATTATATTAGGTTTACGAGTTTACTTGAAACTCGAGAAACTTTCTTGACTATTTTGAAAAAAAAATATGATGAATTTCACTTTCTTATGTGGAAATATCTAGTTTAATATTTATGTAGATAGTGATAATTGATAAAATAATGATAGAAAAGTTCATGATACGGAAGATCAAAAATAATGAAAAACTTGATATTAATATTTACATTAATTTAGAGAATGATTACAGAAAATATCTTTTATAAATTACAATACAAAAAAATTGTCAAAACCTATATTTCAAGAATTTACACATAAAAAATAAAGAAATTATGCAAAATTTATATCAATTACATTAGTAATAACAATATTTTTTTGAGACTAATGGAATATAAAATTAATCGAAATACGATAACAATTCCTCTTTTCTTTACATTGTTCACTACTTAACCTTTAAAAGCTATCGTGGATGAAATTTCATTACAAGCAAATTTTGCTTTAATGCAATTTTCTTTGATGATAGCTTCTAAAGTTATTAATTAAATTGAAACAAAAAAAAAAAGGAATTATTAATTACGAGTTATTAAAACTACTAGTTTCCATGATCTTCTTCTAAAAATGACTCGTAAATCCAAAAATAATACAAAAATTAGACAAATCTCACTTATAATTTTCCACCCTTATATCCTTCTTGAAAATACCTAAATTTCCAATTTAAAAATTAATCAAAATCCCTAAGACCAAATAAAATTAATTTTTCCAATCTCTGCAACCCCCGTTACTTCGAAAATTCCCTAGACAAATATGAATCTTTAAAAAAAAAGTTACTGGTGCGAAATTATTATTCAACATTTACATATTATAATTCAAAGTATTACGAAAGTCCAGTCCAATGCGAAAACATCGCATTAATTCCACGAGCTTCAATCCGACCAGAGAATCAACAACAATCTGCAACTGCGTTTATCGTCGCATTTATCACGATGAAAACGTGGACGAGCGGTGGTCCCCGCGGTGCCGTGAATTCGAAAGTGAATTTTCGCTGTAAAAGCGCGAAAGTGTGAAACGGGCCTTTGCACCGTTAAAAGAGCGCGGCGTGTCGTTCATTCCGCTGAGCGGAATCATGTAATTACAAATTCGGGCGTGGAAATTCGGGGAAGGCGCGAATGGCGGTGGTTGAAAAGATGATCAACGGTCCGGAAACGCAGCGACTTCTCCGAGTGCAAATTGTTGTGTTCGTTTCTCCCGTCAAAGAGGGAAGCGTCTCGCTCTTTCAAAGTACCATCGCGCTTACGAGAGCAGTTTCCAGTAAATACACTTGCTTGCTTTTAATAAAGCTGCGGATCCTTGATCACGAAAACACTCGACTAGATGAATAGACAGGCGAAGTCGAGGCTGCGCCAATGTTACCAGGTCGAGTGTCTTTTAAAAAAAAAAAGAAAAAAAAGAAAGGGTTCGATCAATTTTCTTCGTTCTATTTTTTTCTTTTTTTTTTCTTCTTTTTTTTTTTACAGCAATGCGATCCTAATCTCGCGCTTCTATTTTTGTTTAATTAAGGACCGGTGGATTATGGATCGGTGAATTTTAATTAATTCGTTATTTTCGTAGAAGAGTGAATTATAGTGGAGAGTATCGTGATTACAGAGAAGAATTTTAACAAAAGGATATGAGTACCAGTCATGAGACTGAGGTTGAATAAATTTTTTGTTGCGAGAAATGTATATGGCCATTTTTATACGCGTTATGCAGATATTTTAAATAATTGATGTTGCATATTTTTTGTTGGAGAACATTTTTTTGAGTCATCGTATAAGGAACATAAGAACGAATAATTAAAATATAAAATAACTGGATTAATAAGTATTAAAATAGAATAACAGAAGATAGAATAGAATTGTGTTTCGAAAATATTTAAAAAATTTATGCGATTTAACAGGTATTCGAATGATTAAAGATTTTATAAACGAATCTATAATTTATAATTTGAATAATTTATCAAAAATTGAAAGAATTTTATTATAATATGTATAAATAGATTGTGTTAAAATTAAAATTTGATTATCGTATATGTTAATGGCTGAAGTGTTTAAAGAATCAATCAGAACAGTTTAATGAACTGCAAGGCCAAAAATATATCAGCATCTGGTAGCCAAATGTTTCGTTTACACGATACAGAGGTAAAAAAGGATTGTGCCTTTCAACAACTTCCTGGAATTTGACGCGTGAAACAGTGCAGAGAAAAGACTTGATGGTTATAACTGTGGATAAAATAAACTATCTTCATTTTTGATGGTTATAAATTAAACATATAAGAATATATAGATAATGTTAATATTCAAGGAAAAGTAATTTTTATATTTAAAAATTATAAATAATGCTATTCCATGTTAAATTTTATATATACGATACAAAAATATGAACTGAATGAAGCTTTAGTTGAATTTTTATCTGTGAAATGAAAATTGAATAAACATAACTAAAACATTGTATCGAAAAATTAAATAAATTATATAACCACCTTTGCAATATCGTACAACGTTCCATTTACGAAAAATCAACAACAGTATAAAATAAAAATTTTT